CCTGTGTAAACTTTGCACGGCAGCAGCATCCTTTAGACTTGACTCACATCATCGAATGATAGCAAGAACTGAATCACTGACTGAGTAGGTTTATCTAAGACTCTAGAACAGTCTGTTTTCTCCTTCTCCCTAGTAAAGATTTTAAGCTTTGCTGGCTAAGCAGGTTCAGTTCCAACCACTGAGCTCTCCGGTTGCAGTATGAAGGTAGTCACAGCATTTACATCAACAAATAGGCAAGGCTGCCTTCCAGTAAATATTTGAAAATGTAAGCAGCTGGCCCAGTTTGCCCCCAACCCTACTCTGAGGAAACAAAGAATTAAAAAAAGAAAGAAAGAAAGAAAATAGAGGCTAATTTGAAAATTTCTGACATTAATCCTTCAAGTACAACCATCCAGAAAACTTATGGGAAAGAGTCAAGTGGTTGCTATCTTTTTATTCTTCATTTTCAGAATTCAGAATAGTTTAATTGCTCATGTGACTTCTGTAAAGATCATTCATAAGTGCGGTGATAGCTTTAGGAGCACTGTTGTAAAAGTATAAACTAAGACCCCCCCTACCCACACGTTGTCCTCTAGTTTATGAGCCCTGGTGGTGTAGTGGTTACCCAGTGGGCTTTGATCCGCATGGTCATCAGTTTGAAACCACCAGCTGCTCCACTGGAGAAAGAGAACTCTACTCCCGTTAACGGTTAGAATCTTGGAAACGCACAGTGGCGATTCTACCCTATCCTGTACAGTCGCTGTGCGTTGGCATCGGCTTGATAACAGTGAGCCCTGATACAGGAGATCTGGTGGCTCGGTAGGTTAGGCGCCAGGCTGCTGACAAGGAAGGGGAAGTCGGAGAAAAGAGGTCGTGGCTTGTGTAGAGATGTACAGCCTCAGAAAGCCGTACGGAGCAGTTCGGCTCAGTCTTGCAGCGTCACATTGAGTCGGAGTCCACTTGGGCAGTAGGCTTGGCTTGGTGTGGTTTAATCTTGAGGTGGTTGAGTGTCCGTGGCCCTGGCAAGCCCCTCAAGAAGAACCCAGACCTCTGAAGATGGCCCCTGAAGTCCCGGGAAGGTTTAATTACCAAACAGAATCTTACTGCGTCTGAACACACCTCAGGCCCGTGGGATTACAAATGGGCTTCTGTGGGCTGTGAATTAAGGCTCGGAGGCTCGGCATTTGTTAATTTTTATCTACTGAGCTGGCCAGTGAGGACATTATGAGCACCTCCGGATGCTGCGAGGAACAGAAAATTCCAGTGACAGTAATGACTACGCCTGATGGTCTCTTACATGTATTTTGCAGAAGAAGCCAATAGTAGACCTCTGTCGGCCTTAGAAAGGCATTTCAGGTGGGTGCTGCCCCCTTCTGCTTGCTTTCCGAGTGGATTGCAAATTCCACGTCTACTCCAGGGCAGTGTGTGGTCGTTTGGACTAGACTGGATTTTCGAGGTAGACTACTTTTGTGGTCTGTCCACTCATTGTCCACTGAACCGAGGCCAATTCACAGGTACCCTACACGGCAGGGTAGAACTGCACCTGTGAGCTTAACTGCTTATGGGAGTAGAAAGCCCCATCTCTCCCTCAGAGCTGGTTGGTGGTTTCAAACTGCTGACCTTGGGCTTAACAGCCCAATGTGTAACCACTATGCCACCAGAGTGCCTTTTTCCCCCCTCCTAGCAGAGAACAACCTGGGAGGTCAGGAGGACCCTGTATGTGAATCAAATCCCATGGCGAAGGATTTGCGTCATTCATGTGTAGAAGTTGTGTAGATGGGGCCTAGAGCAGTTAGAGTCCTGGGGGCATAATTATGTGCTCACTTGACAGAAGTGCCCTTCTTCCACCCATTCCCCCAGGCAGGGTTCAGGAGGTGTGATGATGTGAGGTGGGAACCTTTAATAAAGGCCCTTCTCCCTGCTGTGAACTTGTTCAGGTTGCCTGCTGGACCTGT